ATTTCTTGAATACTCTTCTGCAAGAAATAACTCTTCCCCATGTATTTTTGGAGTTACTTGTTGATATAAATAAAGCTGAAAAATAAGGTTACAGTTTCAGATCTGAGGCTTCTTTGACGTCCCAAGCTGCATTTAAAGTCCTGGGATGTCTGAGTGGTCTCCCATGCAAGAATTAGCCCAGCCCACCCTTGCTTATATGTTCTGTGGCCTTGATTCATGAAGCAACCTTTGGTTTTCTTAAAGCTCTGAACTTGAGAGGTTAGTGTTCAGTTCAGAGGTCACTAACCATTGGTTCATGAGAAAATTTTGGTGGGCCGTGGCACACCCGGATGGAGGAGCTACTCCGGGATAACCAATGGGCCAGTTCTGTGATTAGAGCTCTGAAATATGGGACTGGCTAGGCAGCTCGTGGTGGGGTTGGAAATCTGTGCCATAGAGGGATGTACATGCAACTTGCAACTTTGCAGGAGGGGCAATGTGCAAGGAGTAGCGCAGCCCTCCCTGGCCGGAACTGGTACTGTTGCAGCAAGGGGGGGGGGGGGAGGTGGCAGCACAGGCGGGCTGAAGCAACTGGTGTCGGCAATTGCACGCTGGATTCATATTAGTGATCCACAGGATTTAAAATTAGGCATTTAGTGGTCCCTGAGGTCCGAAATGTTGGTGACGCTTGGTTCAGTTGATCTCCTGGACTTAGTACTTCTCATGTGCTTGTTATTACTTGTCAATGGCATAGGGGTTCCTGCTTGAACAGGAGGTTGGAGGAGAAGACCGCTAAGATCCCTTTCCAATCTGTTATTCTGTTATTCATGACAGTATATTATTCATATTTGTGTATTGGTATGTATCCCAATAACAGAGCCTTTGCTTTCTTCTTTTTGAGGGTCCTCGTGGATTCAGTGGTGCTCAGGGCGAAATGGGCCCCAAAGGAACACGGGTGAGGAATCGAATAATTTATTTCCAGCCCAGCGAGATTTTGGAAATAATCACGTTGGGAAGCTGGCTTTATTTTCCCATTAGAGCTCAGAAATAATGCCTCACTCTTCCCTCTCCCCTTTCTAGGGTCTTCCTGGGATTGATGGCAAAGACGGATTTCCTGGCACTCCTGGAGTGAAGGTAAGAAGATGCCCTCAGGAAGGGTAGCATTTGGCTATTCATGATTGATCTCAAAAAGTGAGCAGGTTCAATAGCAGCACATCTGGATGGAGAACCACCATGACCATGTTGGTATGGGTGCTGTCTTGACTTTTTTGGCAAGCCCTTCCATCAGCCCATCTTCACCTAGGCTAGGGCAGTGTTGGCGAACTTTTTCGGCACCGAGTGCTGAAACGGGAGCATGTGCCAGAAACCGGAAGAGCAACTGCTCGATGCGCATGCACATACAGGGAAGATGATCTTTTGGTTTCCAGCATGCACATGCGCACCTGGCACCTGGCCTTTCAGTTTCTGGTACGCATGCCCGCAAGAAGACCAGCTAACTAGTGCACCTGCCCCTGCCAGAAACCGGAGGATAATCTTCCTGGTGCATGCATGCACGTTGGGTGATTGTTCTTCTGGTTTTTGGAGCTCCCACATATGTGAAGACCAGCTGGCCGGCATGCCACAACCCAGAATAGCAAAGGGTGACAGCTCACGTGCCTGGAGAGATAGCTCTGTGTGCCACTTCCGGCATGCGTGCCATGGGTTTGCCGTCACGGGCCTAGGGCAAAATATATCCAGAGATGAAATGAGGGAAGTCCCTTTTTTTTAGGGCCACCAGAACTGAGGCTGCAAGTTTAGAGTCTGGAACAGATTTTCTTTAGTTCCCCTGAGCAGGCAGCCATTCCTTGACCTGGGAAACACAGATGTTCTCCCACTTTACCTCCCTGGAGATGGATCAGTCATTCTCTGGTCCAGTTTGATTCCTGATGACTTCAGGGCAGTGGTGGGCTCCAGATCCCATTGCAACCGGTACAGTGCAACCGGGCCTGGTGGCCACTACATGAACATGTGCAGCATGTACACGCATACAGCGCACGCATGCATCCTTACCTCCTGCGACACTCCGTGATGCCTCCCTGACGCTCCAGCTGCTCGGCAGAGCGTTGCACAGACGCTCTGCATGTGTGAAAGCGCCCAAGATCTCAAATACAGGTAAGGAGGGTGGGTGGGCCCTCCGGAACACCGTACCAGAACGGGACCCAGTGCTCCTGGCAGGCAGCGGTATGCTCGTATTGGTACGCCCGTACTAGGGTGTACCGCCTGCAACCCACCACTGCTTCTTGGAGATGGTCATCTATGATGTTTTCTTGGAAATGATTCTGAAGTGGGTTGCCATACCATTTTCCTAAGATCAGTGGTGGGATTCAAATTTTTTTACTACCGGATCTGTGGGCGTGGCTTGATGGGCGTGGCTTGGTGGGCGTGGCAGAGGAAGGATACTGCAAAATCCCCATTTCCTCCCAATCAGCTGGAACTTGGGAGGCAGAGACTAGATAGGGGCGGGGCCAGTCAGAGGTGGTATTTGCTGGTTCTCCAAACTACTCAAAATTTCTGCTACTGGTTCTCCAGAACTGGCCAGAACCTGCTGAATGCCACCTCTACCTAAGATGCTTTACAACTTCCCATTATACTCCTGTAATCCTCCAGAAGTGTGACACTGCTAAGCTTTTTGAAATCAACCAGGAATAGCCTGACATGTTTTAGATGTCTTAAGACTTACAAGGCAATGTAACTCTAATTATGGAACTAATGTGACCATAACCCTATTAAAATTAATATTTTTAATGCAATTGTTAGTGGGGCTGAATACTGTAGATGGCAAGAGAGGATGAGGAGATAAAAGAAACATAATTCTAGGCCAACATTTGTCCCGGGGTGCAGTTTCTCCTTTTCACACGGTCAACATTTCTATTAACACCTTGGTTGATGAGGTTGGTGGATTGTTTATTGATCTGGAGAGGAGGTATGTTTGGTGGATTAGATTATCTGTTATCTCCTCATCCT